GTGTTGTGTGTGTGTGTGTTGTGTGTGTGTATATTATATATGTGTGTGTGTGTGTGTATATATATGTGTGTGTGTGTGTATACGTATATGTATATGTACATGTATATGTATATATATATATATGTATATGTATATGTATACTTATATATATATATATGTAAATAAATACGTATATATTTGTCAAAAAAATACCACTACAGAGAGAATTGAATCTGTGCCCAAAAAAGGCATTATCTTAGATAGTCACTCATCCTGACCACTGAGTTACTGATGCTGTGTAAGCTTTGAAAAAAACTAAATTTTGAGATTGTGTGGCAGGCGAGAGCGTCAAACTTAGTGGTGGCCGTCTGAAGCTTCAGATTTAGTGGTCGCAGGCGAGTGTCGCAGTCTTAACAAATCTCTTAACAAACTCGTAGGTATTTATTAGTATTTTTGTTTGTGTTTGAAAAAAACATTACAAAAATATGTTTTCTTGCTTTGTCTTCTTTTTTAGTAGAAACAAGAGTCTCGAGACTCGATGTCTCGAAGTCGAGTCTGCACTCATACAATCACTATCGAGATTTCGTTAGAAAAACAAATAGCAGAAATAAAATGAACGGAGTTACGGAGTATTTAGTTTAAAAAAAAAAATTGGAGAAGCGGTCACCACTCACCAGTCACCACTCAACAGTTCGGCATTGACATGACCTTTTACTCCCATAAAAAGCGAATCAATTCATTCCATAGTCATCCCGACTTCCCTCCCTCATTAGCATTTCTTCCATCTCCAATTCTGGACTAAATTTCGTCTTGCCTAAAACTTTTCTATAGTATAGAGTCGCTATAGCTCTAAATAATTGAAATGGATATATATAATATAAGTGCGAGAATGTGAAGATCTCAGTTACAAAAGTAGTACAGTACAAACTTGTCGAATTGAGAGTCGTATTTAGTTTCTATTATATATGGCCCCTAATCTTAAAATGAAATATTTCATATTATACGCGTGTTTTCTCCTTGCTTCGTATGTCAGTGCTCATTCCATATCTCGACGTAGCGACGATTGCCCTGTTAGCTGTGAAAATGGAATAGTAGAGGAGACTCAAATGGAGGCCGAAAGGATATGGGGGTTAACTATATCTGGGAGTGGTAGCTCAATATGTGATGGAAGATCACCAAAAGCTGATGTTATGATGACAGCCCCTATGGATGCATGCCTACGAAAGGCGTACATTTGTGAGCTTGATTTGCTTGAAGCTGCTGCTATAGACGATTGTGACGTTGATGTTGGTGATGGTGTTGACGGTGTTAATAATGATGTTGATGATGATGATGGTGTTGACGGTGTTAATAATGATGATGATGATGATGTAGAAGAAAGCGAAGCAGAAGACTTATCGGAAGCCTTAGAAGACTTATCGGAAGATTTTCAGGAAGACATACCGAAAGCGGCAGTCGCGACTGCTACTCCTAGCCAACACACAGTTAGGAAAGATGCCCCTGACCCCGCATTATTTGAGAACCCCTCTGCAACTGATGGTGTTGTTACCGATCCTGAGACTCAGAACATACAACCTGGCTCTAAGCTAGAAAAACCGAATGAGGAGTTTGTCATGTCAAATGTAACTCAAAAGGCTGAGAAAGTAGCTTCTACATTGGAAGCATCAGAGGAGGAGGTCGTCCCAACAACAATTGTTGTTCAAAATACGACGGCCGATAGTAGCGAGACGTCCACTCCGTTGATGCTGAACAGCCTGTTGGCTCAATAGGGCAGTCTGTGTTACCTTCAGTCCAGTAATATGGAGAAGAATACACGGCAACTTAGATTCGTGGGACGGAGTGCAGCTCGACTCCTTAGGGTGATCTTACTGCACACTTATGCAAATATCAAATTAAATATTAGTTCAATTGTTAGTCACGCATTGGTATAACCTCATAAAGTAAGTGTACATCCTAAAATATGGTTTTCGATTTCTCAACAATAAACAAAATCGAGATCACAGCTCCCGATTGAGTTATTCTCGAGTGATGCCTGCCACATAATACTAATTTTGTCCCGAGGATTGCATTCCGTTCTCTTCGTTAATTGACACTAAATATTCGAATTTACAAATTCTAGCCCCCGATTGAGTTATTCTAAAGTGATGCCTCCCACATAAAACTATTTTTGCCTGACAATTGCATTCCGTTCTCTTCGTTAGTCGACACTATTTCCGAATTTACAATTTCTCATATTGTAAAATATCAGTAAAAGCGCGATGCTGCGCATCCTTCGATTTTAGAGTACGCGTTCCCTTTATTTCTTAACATCACTCCATCGGTTGGTCGGATACTATCCAAACGCTGAATATTTTTATATCAAAGTAGCCAACTTATAGCGCGGAATGTCGGTGTCTTTGTATATACATGACACATCAGCGATTGACGAAGTAGATATGTATAAAGTCAATATCCCTCTATCGGAGAAGCAGTCCACACCGCCAAGTACTTGCACAAAAAGTATGAAAGCATCTACAAGTTTTCAGCACCAAACAAACTCACGGAGGTGCAAGGTAATAAAAATTGATCACTTGCACTACACAACCCAAATGTGACTTTTTTCCAAGATAAATCTTTGTGTCATGTTAAAGATTTAGTTGACCCGATCAAATCGATTGTACAGTCTAGTCCTAAGTATCGTTCGAGTAGCAAGATCATGCGTTCACCACATGCAAACGTTACATATGTATCCATATAGATATCCTTGTGAGTGCAACTCTAATCTATACACATACAGGACATGGCAGTCTGAATTGACTATCAACTAAAAACCACATACTAACTAGCTTCGAGGACAAACAAATTGAACTTATCACGGCGTCAGATATCGACCATAAATTCAAAATGTATTTATTAGTTCATTCATAGTGACTTTTACTACTACTACTTACTAGAGTACGTGCAGTTTGTACGACCGAATGCTACTGACAACGAACAATACAACAAGCAGCATTTTTTTCAAAAGGCTATCTAAGTCTTCATGGTAGATTCTCCAATTGCTATATACAATTGTCATACACTCCAAACAGACGCGGTCTTGTATTGCTTTAAGTTTGCAACTGATTTGTGTTTTGGAAGGCTGTGATTTTTTTTGGATATATATATTTTGAAAACAAAACAAAAGCCTATTTTCTAAGTTAAATAAGGAATGAATTGGGAATATCATATATTTTAGTATATAGCACCCAAAACTTGAGTTGTTGTTTTTTATTATATTTATTATTTTAAACAAATGAAAGACAAAATTGAACTTACTGTAAATACAGCGTACTGGCCTGAGCTCTACATATTTACTATACTATTTCATTGGTTTTTTAAAAACAACATTTTTGGTAAGGGCCTTTGGACTCTGAAGTTTGGAGTTTGCCCTTTTGCCTTTTTTTCACAGCGGCTTCTTTTTTGGCCTTTGGGGGATATAATCACTCACAATGGCTACACTATGCCCAATTTTTATTTGAAAGTTCGATACATATTAGGGTTTTAGGGTTTTACTAAAACATAAAAATGACCCTACCGCCTCTACGGCCTATTTCCATTTTCCTCATTCCTGCCCTACAGTCCTAAAAACTGAAATATTTACAGTACATATTTACACATGTTTGTATCATTCGTTTTTTGTTTTTTGTTTTTTTCAAATGTAGCCTTCGTCTATTTTATATATTTTTTAAATCCAAATTCCAAAATCAAACCGTCGGTCAGGTATGATGATGACGCGTGTATTGTAAGTGACGTGATTTGAGTACTGACTACCGAGTAGGTGAATAGATGAGCATATTTTGTATAAAAAAAAAGACTTCTATTATAGTAATTTACGTTTTTAGGTTGGTCGAATGGGCGTAATAGAGCTTCACAATTGTTCTCTGCTTTGGTTTTCAGACTTTTTGTTCGCTACAAACCTTAGCCGACTGACGAGAGTGACGGAACCGGGTTTTATGTACACGTTTTAGAAATAAAATTGAAATATAGTCATCTATTAGAAAACCCCGGAGTAGTGCTGTCATTGCTGTCGTATTATTCTTTACTTACCATTTACTGACGCCATGATCCCAGTGGCCAGTGATTGCTAAATAGCTTTCTATCGAATAGAAATTAAGGAAAGAATCGAACTGCTTTTTAAATGCAGACTGCACCACAACTCCTCCACCAGACTTTGCAGCACTGCAGCCTGTGTGAGTGACTGAGTGTGTGCTGGGTGCAGTGTAAAGGCCACCCAGGGTGAGAGGAAAAGGGGGCTACAAGCTTGGCCTGCAACTCTGTACTGAGGTCTCACCAAGTGCAGCTAACGTCAATAAGTTATACGTAGTGTAGAAACAAGTTGAACGTTAACCATCAATTTTTCAATATATAGACGGTTTAACTTTTATAAACTCAATACTGGTCGAAATCGTGGATTTTGCACTTTAGAACTGCACCTATATTCAACAAAAACCGACACGTATATATATATTTGCTCAATTTTAGGAAATAATATATGACCTAGAAAACTGCACCTAAACAATATCGGTTGTTGTATATACGATATAAAGGTTTAACGTTAACCGTTATTTTTTAACTTTTTGACGTTAGGAGTGCAGGACTGCACTCTGCACTGTCTGTAGTCTGCACTCTGCACTCTGCAGTCTACGTACTGCATGCTGTAAGTTGCAGCTTAACGTCAATTTGCACATGCTGTCAGGGCTCAGGCAAACAAGTACTAGCTAGCAGTCTGGCAGCCAGACTCAGCTAAGGGCTCAGTGGAGTGAGGCTCAGCCGCTCAGGTTCAAATCAGCCCTTAGGGCATACAGCCTCAGGGCCTCAGGGCTTAGGGCTTAGGGCTCCGGGCTCCGGGCTCTGGGCTCCTTGCTCCGGGCTTCGGGCTCCTTGCTCCGGGCTCCGGGCTCTTGGCTCCGGGCTCAGGGCTCCGGGCTGAGGCCTCTGCCACACTGGTACAGTCTCACAGTGCAGCAGATTCTACTCAAAGAGCTCTACTGAGCTGTTGAAACTGAGTCAGCGACTCAGAGAGTATTTGTTTTTTGTTTAGTTTTGTTTTGTTTCTTGAAACAAAACAACAGTTAAAAACTAAATATAGATGAGAAAATCAGAATATATATTTACAACGTATACAAATTACAACATATTTTCACAAACTCAGACTACACAGTCTATTTGCTTTCAAAACAAAAAAGTACAACAGTAAACAAGTCACAGACTCGCGTCTCAACTCTCAATTCTCACAGACTCACAGAGTCACAGTCACTGACAGAGATCAACCAGTTCTGGTGGTTTGAGCAATAAGCATAAGTGCTTACTATACAGATCTAACTTATTTCATATAAACGTCTGTCCCTTTCATGACTCATAATGCACCGGGAATACACTTTTTTAGGATCACTATACTCGGGTGCAAAAAAAAATATCAACCTATTATGCGAATTAAAAACAGTTGCCCCCTATGACAACAGTGAAAACTTCGTACCTTGGGGCTGCTGGGTGGCGACGGGTTTTCCAAGAATTCCGCCCAAGGTGCTCGCGTTGGACTTGAAAGTCCAGCCCTAAGCGTGCACCCGCAGCGACAACCAAAGCGCCTTTCACAAAGTAGACGTTATAAACGAATACGCGTATGTAGCAGACCTAAGGTCCTAAGCGTTGAGACTTGAGCTAGCCTTCCTAGTCCATAGCAGACTAAATTACTAAAACTTTAGCTAAATAAAGTTTATATATGTAGAAAGCCAGGCCAGACCACAGCCCACACGGAACAAGCTCCCCAGGGCAGTGACTGTCTGACCGAGGAACACATATTTTCGATAATAAATATGGCGAAAAATTGGCATATTATTATTTTAAAATAGTAAATATGCACTGAAAACGTTAAATATGAAATATGAAATATGATATGAAATTTGAAGAAAAAAATCGTAATACGCGAGTTGATTTCAGAAATACGGCAAAAATAATAATATTTGGTATATATAAAAATGAAATAAGCCATATTTAAAAAAATGCCATAAATATGCCATATTTCTTAAATATGCCATATTTCTGAATAAGGCATATTTATGAAATATGCCATATATACAATATATTTACAATATATAGTATTTCACGGCTGAATTATAAAAATTGTATAGGCATATAGCCTGTATTTTGCAGTTCTATCAAAGGATTTATATAGGCATATTGACTGTATTTTGTAGTTATATTAAAATATTTATATAGGCAGAGTGGCTGTAGTTTGTAGCTATATGAAAGGAATTGTACAGATGCATACTAGCTGGTTTGTAGCTGATGTAAAATATCGCATATACTTTTTATTTCATATACTATCTTATGTAATATATTTCGTGAAAATGTATATTGAACATATGACATATTTCTGACATATACCATATTTGGTA